CACATTGCTGTGGGTCTGGAGTCACATGTAGGCCAGACCAGGTAAGGATGACAGTTTCCTTCCTTAAAGGACATTCGTGAACCAGATGGGTTTTCCTGACAATCAACAATGGATTCATGGTCATCATTAAATTCTTAATCCCAGATATTTTATTGAATTCAACTTCCACCATCTGCCATGGTGGGATTTGAACCCCAGTCCCCAGAACGTTATTTGGGTCTCTGGATTAACAGTCCAGCGATAATACCACTGCATTCCCATTGCATTGGTAAAGCTACTTTTGGAATACAGCTTCTGGTCTCCCTGCTATAGGAAAGATGTTGTTAAACTTGAAAGGGCTTACAAGGATGTGGCCAGGGTTGGAGGATTTGAACAATAGGGAGAGGCTGAACAGGCTGGGACTATTTTTCACACAGATGATATTGTGTGTATGAAATGAACTGCTAGATGAAGTGGTGGAGGCTGGCATAATTACAATATTGAAAAGGCATCTGGATGGGTGTATGAATAGGACGGGTTTGGTGGGATAGGGCCAAAGGCTGACAAATGGGACTAGATTAATTTAGGATATCCTGTCAGCATGGACGAGTTGGACCGAAGGGTCTGTTTCTGTGTTGTATATCTCTATGACTCTAAGTGGTTGCTCAAATCGCCCTTATGTTGGCAATTGGAAGCCAAGTATCAGCGATGGAACTAAATTTAAACAGCACAGTCAGCAGATATTTTGAACACTTTTTCCAACAAACTGATTCAAGGAAGCGTTTGCTTTCTTTTCCATCCATCCCAATACTAAATGATATCAATGTGCTGCACACAGCCTTTAACCAACACTCTCGAAAGTGTATGGTAAAGATCATTCAACATTGTTCCAAACATGATCAGGGAAATTCTCCCAATATTCTGTCCCTCAACCAAACTCATTCAAATGGATTACCTGGGTATTAGCTCATGGCTGTTTGTGATTACAAGGGGCAATTCAGCCATTTCCTCATTCACTTTATTTCAACAGTGGCTACGCTTGAAAAGTATCTGATTGATCCTTTAGAGCATTCGGAGACTGTGAAAAGTATACTGTAAATTCATGTTCCACTGTTCTTTTCGTTAAAATGCTGATGGATTCAGGTGACCTTATACAGGTTTATAAAATAACGAGTGGTATAGATAAAGCGAATGGCGGATGTCTTTTCCCTAGGGTCAGGGTTTCAAGACTAGGCTGCACATTTTTAAGGTGAGAGGAGAAAGATTTAAAAATGATGTGAGGGGCTATTTCTTTTACGCAGAAAGTGGCTCGTGTGTAGAATGAACTTCTAGAGGGTCTGGTGGATGCATGTACAATTACAACATTTAAAAGACAGTTAGATAAGTACATGAATAAGAAACGTTTGGAGGGATATGGGTCAATAACAGACAGGTGGTACTAGTTTAGTTTGGGATTATAGTCAGCATGGATTGGTTAGACTGAAGGGTCTGTTTCCATGCTGTATGACTCTATGACTCAGTCTTCTTAGCTCCAGGTGAGAATTGCTCTTTCTGAATTGTAGCTCCTTTATCCCTGATAGCATACCGATATATTTACCTCATGGGTTTTTTTAATTGAGTTTAAATAGCTCCCATCCATGGGGTACCTATAACTTGACTAAACAGTCCAGGTGTAGCCAAAGTAAAGTCTTCTTTAAGTTCAACATTACTCTGTCTTACTTAAGCTTTGCCTCGAGGTACAAGCCAAGGATTTTGGTTGCTCTTTTATGACTTTAATTACATGTTGGCCTGTGTTTATACGCAGCATGGTATTCACTGCTCACTCATTCCAGTTAAATGATACTACTCGAGAAGTGATTAATTCCACATTCGCACTTCTCATCCCCAATAAACTTTTCCATGTTGTTCATTTACAAGCTGCCCTTTTCCCACAGCTGCCCCAGGTTTTGAGTTATTAGTTTAAATATAATGGGTAGGTTGCTGACTTTGACCCCTGTTCACCTGGTAAATTACGAGAGGCAGCTCCAGGTGGCAGGAAGATGCTCCAGGTGGCAGGAAGATGCCAGGCTAGCTACCCCCTCTACTTTACATGGCCCCATGCCACCCCATGCCACATGAATGGAGGGGGTACTTGAAATTGAGCCTCTTTTTGGTATGGGACCAGAGTCACATCTAAACCAGTATGGCAAGGTGGCAGTTTTCCTTCTCTACAGAACATTAGTGAACAATTTGACAATTCAATAGCTTTTGTGGTCACTTCTACTTCCAACAGATTTTATTTAAAGAACAAGTTTCAGTGGAATTCTAACTTGCATATCACTGGACTATTAGTCTTGGCTTCTAAGTATTGAATCTACAAACATGACTGCTACACCACCCAGTCCTCTATACTGAACTATCTTTGCCAACCACTGGCCCATCCAGTCATCACATCTACTTTCCTCATAGATTTCATAGAATCCCTGCAGTGTGGAAACAGGCTCTTCGGCCCAACAAATCCACACCGACCCTCACAGCATCCCACCCAAACCCATCCCCCTGTAACCCACCTAATCTACACATCCCTGAACACTATGGGCAATTTAGCATGGCCAATCCACCTAGCCTGCTCATCTTTGGACTGTGGGAGGAAACCCACGCAGACACGGGGAGAATGCGCTAACTCCACACAGGCAGTCGCCCGAGGGTGGAATCGAACCCTGGTCCCTGACGCTGTGGAGCAGCAGTGCTAACCACCGAGCCACCGTGCCATCCCTACTACACTTCTTGGCCCAGCTTTCACACTTCCTCCTAAATTTTTCTCCATCAACAAACTTCAGTTGTCAATCCTCAAATCACTGGCATTTCAAGATGAGTTTTATTCATTGGAGAACCCAAATGTTGAAGCCCAGGTGGAACAGACAACCTTCTTCAGACAAATATCTACCCATCCAGGTGTTGGTTACCAACCCCTTCAGCTTCACATGGAGCCAACATCATAGAAGCTGTTTCCAGACAGCCAAAATTCGCTTGACGTAGTGGATTATAAAACTTCATAACTCAAGGTAAGAGACATAGAAAGAGAAAGGTGGGAGAAAGAGAGAGGAAATGTGGCAAAATGGGTCAGCTTAGAGTTTGTACTATTTTGGAAAGTACAAGATGCGGCCAGTCACTTCATAGAACATAGAACATAGAACATTACAGCGCAGTACAGGCCCTTCG